TCGAGCAGCGTTTTTCTTGGCTTGTTTCAAAGCCTTAGTATCGGCAACACCGGCGTTGATTGTGCCTATATCTGTTATAGGCCTTTTACAACCAAGTACACGCTGTGTCGATATAGGCGTGGGATCTTCGGTTTGCAGAGCGAGCTTGAGGCTTTGGCCAAAGGAGAGGACTTTCTCTAGCCTTAGGGCTGAGCGATCCGGAAGAGAGAGCCTCTTCGTATTTGGCTTGGTCAAATTCCACGACCAATGTTTCCACGGTTGTTCCAGTGAGGTGAACGTCGGATTGCGCCACCACCTCTTCGTCAGAGAAGCTTTTCCCCAGCGGAGTCGCCATCTTTTGTTTGTGGGAAATTTTGTAATAAAAAGAATATAAGGAAAGAATTGCGTTTGATTTTATTCTCTCTAACTGCTTAGAAAAAGAATGATTACAACTCTCTCAACTCTCGATTACAATTTGGATTCCTAGTTACAAAAGAGAAGAGAATGATCTGGATTCTCCCCTTTGTTTAATTCTGGGTTCTTCACGGTAGCGATGAGATGCCTCCCTCGAATGCTTGCGTCGAGTTTGCTTCTCGTTGACGATCCGAATATCTATACTTCACTGGAACAACTGTCTTGGCCGGTTGATAACTCTTGTCGAGTTTTGTGATTCAGAACAAGTAACAAACTCTAATGATAGAGTTGTTGGAACCGAAAATAATTCGGTTAATAAGCCAAATATCGATGGTTTAGAGATCCTCCGTTTGTTGATTTCCCAGACTGTGTAAGGAGTCAATCCTCCTTTTTCTGATTCTGGAAGATTTGCTCGAAAGATCCCCCTCCGATTAATGAAAAGAAATCTCTCTTGATCTGATTATCAAAAATCCGATCTCTCCAATCCAAAAAGAGATCCTTTACTCTGTTGAGTTTGTTGCTATTTATAGGGGGATTAGGGGTGTCACTGCCCCCATAATCCGCGCCTAAATGGGGGTTTAGTTACCCCATTAGTCGGGTGTAACAACCCACTAAAGCCACTCCTCAAATCGTGGGTGAAGAACAGCTTCGAAGTTGTTACGATCACGTTTGAATGAGTCAGAACCTTGACCTGCGTTCTGGCGGTGATTGAGCTGCGTTTGGCAGCGACTGACGGGCTGCGTTGGGCAGTGATGGATGAGTTGCGTCGGCAGCGGTTGATAAGCTGCGTTGGGCAGCGATTGATAAGCTGCGTTGGGCAGCGATTGATAAGCTGCGTTCAGCTGCTGATCTGGGCTGCGTTCAGCTGCTGATCTGAGCTGCGTTCAGCTGCTGATCTGAGCTGCGTTCAGAGCTGATCTAAGTTGCGTTCAGAGGTGTACT